GGACCATCCTGTCAATAACAAATAGTTTTTACTATTGACAGGACCATCCTGTCAATAGTGCAAATTTTCCCACTACTGACAGGAACAATAGCCTCAGGCTACTTCAGGACAGGACCAAATTTATAAGATCTCAGGAAGCATCACAAGCGAACAAGAGATGATACAGTATAAAGTTGGGTACCAGGCTAAGGTGCAGGTATTAGACTCATTATATCATGGCCATTAAGGGCCTTTCTGTCAAAGTGACAATGTTTAATGATGATGATGCTGTTTCCATGACAACAGGCTCCGGAGGCTGGAGGAGTAGCAGAGATGGAGGAACACGAGAGACATGAGATTGTTCTGGACAGCAAACCGGTCAGTACTTATTTCATTAGCCTGTGGCTATTGACAGGACGGTCCTGTCAATAACAGAAAGTATTGCACTGCTGACAGGGCTGTCCTGTCAATAGCCACAGGCATCACTCAGTTCTGGAGAGCAAAGTCGTGAGTTATTTGGTTAACCAACCAATTACCTCACTATAGCTTGTATATTTAGCCAAGCGCACTTAGTCAATGATTTAGTCAGGCTATATTCAAAGACAATTCAAACTCTACTACTGGATAAATAACGGAGATAACTTCCAGATGTTTTGAGTGACATTCACCAATCACCACTCTTCTTCAGTGTCACTAGATGAACTGTTCATTTAGTGATGCTGAAGAAGAATGGTGAAGAGCTTGAATTGTACTTTGAGTTTGAAAATACAGTTTTACCTGGATGTCTAACCTTCATCAATGTAGTCAGCCTATAGTTCATTAACAGCCATTTTCGACTATGAAGCAGTACCAAGTTCAACTGAAAGGACTCCTGTATGTCTGATGGTAAAACCTGCACCCTGCCCCCCCCCCCAGGTGAAAGTGGAGCGTGTCCACGTGGACGGACTGGGTCGTACCAAAGACAACATCATCGTGAGGGAGGTGAAGGATGTGCTCAACTCCACCAGCTTTGAGGACGTGAGAAAACCTTGCTTCATACAGATACATTTAACCAGTCACGAATATGCAAATGATATGCAAATTTTGGTTCATGATTAGGTTGATGACAATGTCAGGAAAGATGACGATGATGATGATGAAGAATAAACTGATGATAAAGATGTTTAGAGTTAAAACTTTTGGTCCAACACAAAAAGTTCTCTCACCTAGAGCTTTCGACCAGTCACTCTGGTCTTCCTCAGTAGACTGACCCAGTGAAGCTTGTCACGTGGCTTCTTTGAAGTGTGAGGTCAACACTGGGTCAAAGGTATCTGGTAGACGATGATAAAGATGTTGAGGATTATAATAACGATACTGATGATGATGGTACCAATGCTGCTGCTGATGAAATGATGATATAGATGATGCTCCCTCCCCATCATCTTTACCTCCTCCTCCTGCTCTTCCTGTCCTCAGGTGATCCGGAGGTCCCACTACGCCAAGACGAGGCTGGAGCGGCTCGGCATCTTTAAGAACGTCGGCATCTTCATCGACACATCGAAAGGTAAGGAAGACTCTCACCTGCTGCAGGTGTTGGGGCACACCTGTCTCAGCTACACCAGGTGTCACCTGCACACCTGTCTCAGCTGCTGTCTCAACTGTCCCAGGTACCTCCAAATTTTAATGTCAATTGTACATCTTGATCGTCAAGACTTGTGCAGGCCTTCTGGCTTCCCCCGCCTCCTTGTGGAATCCTAGCACCTCTTTCAAATGTTTTCGTGAGACTAGGTCACTCTGTGATCAAGATGCACAGTCGACATCAAAAATTTGAAGGTACGTGTTTCTACCTTTCAATAAGAGTCACGTTCTAGGGCAGACACCACATTTGCGTTGCGCAGTAGAGGCGTCAAAATGGGAACACGATTGTAGTGCCTAGTTAATACCTTTGAAAACCTTTTTTTCTCTTGAAATTTTTGGTCCATTTTGGAGATTTATGGGCTGGAAGGCACAGGTAGGGTCTAAACTGTCCTACATTGGTCAAGTTTTGTTTATTTCACCAGTTTAGTGGGCGTAGTGAGAGATGTGAGTGGTTAGGTCTTGTCTGGCCAGGCGGATGGATACCATGGAAAATGTAGGTCAAAGTTGAGGTTTTTTTACTATCATCAGCTGTGGCGGGAATTTGAGATGGTCAACCCCCTGTTTCCTTTCTATTTTTGGGAATCAGACCCTTGTTGCTACCTGGTGCAGAAAAATGTTTGAGATTTGAGTATGGGCAAGTACTTTCATGAGGTGTTAAAATTTAAGTACTGTCTGCCCTAGAATTCTACTAACTGCCAATAGGAGAGGCAGGGGTTACAAAGACTGTAATCTGACATGCGTTCTCTGCCCCAGGTCCGGAGGCTGACCCCAATGGCCTGGAGGTCACCTTCGAGGTCAAGGAGCTGCGACCTTTGACCGGCACAGCCAACACCATGGTCGGGAACAACGAGGGGTCGATGGTGGGTAAACTTTCATTATAAACGTAAGCAAACATCAACTATAGATAATCAACATTTGCAAAGCAAATGCATTATGTTTACCTTTGCATATGGTCTGCTCTGTTAATTCTTACTCCAACACATTCATATACATATATATTTTATATAATGGTGACAGGAGTCCAAATCCCTCCTGCTATAGAATTGCAACATTACGTAAACCAACATCAACAAATCAGGACATTGGCCTGGTCAGTGTCTGGAATGGAAGAAGAAGAAGAGGAAACATAGCAAAAACAATCTGTTCTGCCTAAACATAACAAGGGACTCATAAACTTCAATCTTAAACATAAACATAAACACAACAACAAAGGATTGACAGTGGCACACTCATAAATTTTCATCAGTACAGGTGTAACCATGTTGTTTTCTCGTTCTTTCAGGTGTTTGGAGTTCGGATGCCGAACATATTTGGGCGAGGAGAGAAGGTCGTGTCGGAGTACTCCTACAGCAACAAGCAGAGGTCGTCGTTTGCTGTGACCTTCATGAAGCCGCTTCACGGCAACCCCGACTACAGGTAAATTGTGTCCCTTCTCCTGATTGGCTCTTGCTTGTTTCCCTTCTCCTGATTGGCTAGCCACTTGTTTTCCTTCTCCTGATTGGCTGGCCACTTGTTTTCTTTCTCCTGATTGGCTGGCTGCTTGTTTCCCTTCTCCTGATTGGCTGTTGCTTGTTTCTCTTCTTCTGATTGGCTGGTCTCTAGTTTCCCTCCTCCTGATTGGCTGGTCTTTTTTCCCTCCTCCTGATTGACCCAATCAATTCCCTGGTAACTTTTAATTTAAATGTTTCTATTGTTCTAAATGCAGGGCTTGAAATTCATTTTTTGGAACCTAAAATATTGGGTGCGCAAAAAGTTTTTTTTGGGTGCACCATATAAGATAAAAAGTAGAATGTTAGCAAAAACGAATTATGTTTCATTTCTAAAGAAAAATACTACTGCAATGGTTTTTATTTTAGTATTCTTCTGACACTTAGAATTTAAGAATATGCTTTATAGTTATACTACTATACATGCATCTTTACATACATAATCCTATAAAGATATTTGGGTGCACCCACAGAAAAAAATTTGGGTGCACAGCTCCAAATTTCGAGTATTTCGATCCCTGAAATGGACATATGTTTTACTAGTATTGTTAGAGAAAAACTTTGTTCTTTACTACTGAAGTAATCTATTATCAGCTGCACTGTGCATGCCATGCCTTCCTATCTCTGGCTATTTGTGCATGATGATTGATCTCCAAGCCCCCCAACCCCATTTCTGACGTGCATGATGACTGCCTGTGTTCTCACCTGTGTTTTCTCCTCCTCTGCTCACCTGTGATGCTGCATGCAGCACACCTGGGGGCAGGTAGGTACTACAGGTGTCTCACACTTCTTAAGACTTTTCCAAGGACTTCTATAAAGTCTTCTTCACACCTTAAACCCTCAAGCAGCTAAGTTTTGCACAACCATTTTTTGTATTTCTAAATTCAACATTAGCTCTATAGTCTATTGTCTGCCAAAGGTATTTTCCCTCTTTTTCTTCCTGTTTTTTTTTACCTCCTCTTCCTCCCTAGGAGTAGTATACATGTACTAGTATTACCTTTATCGGTCAAAACAAGAAGGTAAAAGACTTTGAGCTATTAAAACTTCCTTGGTGATTAAAGTTTATTTGTTGGCAAAATTAGGGTGGGATTTGGAGGCTTCTTTAAAAAGTTCCCTTCTTTTTGTAATTGTCGCAGGGACAGTTTGAATTAAAAGTAAATTTTGTCTCCCACCATATTATAATAATTGTTTTATTGCAAATTCATGCCTGAGGGCTAATTGCAGGAACAGAAGAAACATTTGGTATAAAAACAGACAATTAGTACACATATAACAACTGATAATTCCTAAGAAAGTATTGGTAAAAAACCACTGGGTTTGACTATTTTTTTTTAAGACAGAGAAAGACAAAGGATCCTAATTTTTCTGTAATTTGTCGGTTTTCGGATGTTAAGAGAAGATAGTAGTTTTCTTTTCATTTGTATACTGTAGTATGTGTTAAAGTTGGGGTAGAATTTGGAGGCTACGTCAAAGAGTTCATTTTGTTCATTATCATTATAATCCACAGCAGGAAACAAACAGCAGAGGACTGAAATCTGATGAATATTTCAGCGATATGATCCCTTTTAGGAGTTAATTTGTCCCTAATTAGATGAAGTGAGCCGGGCTGATGGCTGATGATGATTGATGGGTGTCAATCAACCTGCCACCATCATCTGGGATGTACCATGGGCCCGGAGGGGGGTGTTTTGTGGTCGGCCACACAACTGTGTTGTATTTGTATCTGTATAGCCAGTTTAACACAGCCCTTCAGCATAACACACCAGCGTCACAGGCACATGGCGCAGCGGCAGCTGGCTACATTACACCGAATGACTTGTTACACCTAACCCTTGAACGTCTAACTCTAGACAGTGTTTGAACCTATTTAATGATAGTGAAAGAAACCAAACATTTTCGTCTCACCCTGGCCTCTTCCCTAATGACCTCAATGAAAAGCAGCCTACAGGCAGTTTGGAGTATTTCATAGCTAAATGAAGGCCCAAACAAGCAACACAACATGAGGAAGGCAAAAGTTTTCTGTTTAAATTTCCTTGTAGGTACAAAAAACAACTTTCCCACCATATTCATAAGTTAGAAATACCAGTATTTTGTTTTCCATTTTACTATCATTGAGTTTTTTCATGAATCTGATTAAATTTGGAAATGGGCCTTGTGCAAAGAAAGCTTCCTTTTTTCCCTCCTGCCACCAGACTACTATTTACTATGTTGAGAGAAAAAAGCCGGATTGAAAAAGTACAAGATGACAAATGTACCAAGTCTTCCAGTTGGTTATACGTTAAAACAAGGAAGTTATGTGTCCCTGGTTGAAGCCTGCCTGACTGTATTTCTGCCAGCCCAGATTTTACCCTAATCCTAGACCAAAAAAAGACAAAATGTGCCAAATCTTCCAGTTTGTTATACGGTCAAGCATTATACGTTCATGATTGTCCTTGGTTGCAGCCAGCTTAAGTGACATTGTATTTCTGCGCCACCCCAGATTTTCCCCTAATCTGGCAGCTAATTAAGCCAGCCTGATTAATGACCGTCAGGGATCTCCCCACTTCAGATGGTTCATGTACATGTATTTACTACATTTACTATCAGTATCATTTAGTCTTGCAAGAACAAGAGACATTTTTTCATCAATCTCAGTTGAAAATGGTCCTTCTCCTAGTCAAGATTTCTTTTTTCCCCTCCTGGCCACCAGACTACTATTTACTATGTTGAGAGAAAAAGCCGGATTGAAAAAGTACAAGAAAGACAAAGTATACCAAATCTTCCAGTTATCTTGAAACTTATCTGTGTTGGTAAAAGTCATTATGAGCAAGATTGAACTTTGAACACAAAGAAATTGGACCCAAATTTTTGACTGTACAACTCCAGTCTTTGCCAAGGATTGAGCAACTTTTTTGAAATCTTGCTCAAAAATCTTCCAGTTATTTATACGTTCAACCAAGGACGTTATATACTAGTATCCTTGGTTGAAGCCTGCCTGACTGTATTTCTGCCACTCCAGATTTTACCCTAATCCTAGACCAAAAAAAGACAAAATGTGCCAAATCTTCCAGTTTGTTATACGGTCAAGCATTCATGATTGTCCTTGGTTGCAGCCAGCTTAAGTGACATTGTATATCTGCGCCACCCCAGATTTTCCCCTAATCTGGCAGCTAATTACGCCAGCCTGATTAATGACCGTCAGGGATCCCCCCACTTCAGACGGGTCTGTGATGGACAATCCTGCAGGCTGAATAATTTATTAACGACCTCGACCAATCAGGAGGCCCGTCCCATCGCCATGACGATGTGCAGATGTCCCCGATAGTCGTGTGATTTGATTTGTGGTCCAAATTGGAGGAGAAGTCGGCAGGAAGGAGAGGGTCAGGAGGGACTGAGAATGTGGGACATGCCTTTTTGTATTACTAATGCACTACAGAATTGTTTTAACTGTGTGAATTTGAATTGAAAAATTTATACAAAACTGAGGAATAAAAAAAACTGAACTGTTTCAACTGCAAATTTGAACTGAACTAGAAAGGCCAATATTTGCTTTGGAGCAAATACAGCGATGGGTTCACCACATTTTACGACATGGCAGGGAAAGAATGAGAAACACAAGGGAAAACAATGATTTACATTGATATAACTATAATATGAAGTAAAATACAACTAAAACAACAGTTGGGTAGCTATTCCCTACTTTATTGGTTAGGATTTTTAATTGCATAATGCAAACTGTTGATTTTCAAAATAAAAAAAAACGTAGCATGCCCCGCATTCCAATGCTGGAGCAGGAAAGCTTGAAATACCTACCAAAACACTTGAATACAGACATTCTGTCAGTATGGAAATGCTCTGTGCAGGTGTTAATCAAGTTTAAATCCCAACAGCCAATCAGCAAGAAATGCTCTGTGCAGGTGGAAATGCTCTGTGCAGGTGTTAATCAAGTTAAATCCCAACAGCCAATCAGCAAGAAGTATAGAGGAAAGCTGCATGCCTATTGGTTGATGCCCTGCATTCCATTGTGATGACTCATGCCCAAACGTGGTAAACAAGGCACACTAACACAGTAATACATTTGCTATAACACAGCCAAAAAACTCAAATAAAACCATTCTAAAAGCCTGTATCACAATAATTTAAAAAACGCCTAGGGGTATTTGCCCACTGTACCTCCATACCAAAT